TGTGGTCCACCCCCCCCCCCCCGCCCACTGGGATGTGCAGTGTGGTGAGAAAAGCTGTCGCCAGTGCTGCTCCATGGACTTTGTGACCAGCAAGGAGGAAGGCGTGGAGCCATAGTGGGAGGGTGGGGCTTCTCTCTTCTAAGTCTCAGTGGTGACCGAGAGCCAGGGCTCAGCCCATCTGTCGACACCGCACGCCCCCGGCAGACAGTGCCGGCCAACACCTGCTCTGGGTGAAGCAGGGGCCATCGGCCTGAATCGGGGACCAGTACCCAGGCTCGTGGGGCCAGGAAGCAGTCTCGTAATAAATTCTGTGCTTGGTACAGCCTCCTTGCCATCTGTCTTGCCTCCTTCCAGAAGCTGCTGGAAGCTTGAGGTGGAAGAGTGGGGGCGGGGCTGAGGGGGGAAGGAAGGAAGGAAGTCCCAGGAACCAGCCAGAAACCGTGGCTGGGCTGCCCAGGTGAGGAGACCACAGCCCCACCTGGGGGAGAGCGCAGGAACCTGACCACACCCACCCGATCCTGTGCCTTTGCTTTCTCTGGGGTGCAAACCCCCGCCCAGAGCAACTGGAGTAAGGGCAGCAGCTCCCCTGCCCCCAGCCACCACCATGGTGACAAGACCCCAGCACTGTCCAGGCGCCCTCAACTGCAGCAGAAGCAGGACCACCGTGACCCATGTGTGACCCTGGCCAGAACATGGCCCTCTCTCGGCCCAGTCCTGCAGCCCCTCGTCCGTATCCCTGCCTCGTCCAGCGGCAGGGTGGCCTGGAGGCTGGGGTCTGCTCTCTTCCAAGTGCTGCCCTTCTGGGAGGAGGGTCAGGGCTCCAACAGCCCTGGGTGGTGTGAGGCAAGGCCGCCCAGAAGGCGGTGAGGCTGTCCAGGGGCTACAGCGGTGTCCAAGCCCCAGGGGAGTGGGCCTCTGCAGCGGACCGTGCTGACTGATGCTGGCAGCCCTTGGGTCCTCCCTCTGCTGCAGCCCTGGGCTGAGTTCCCACCTGCTTCCTCCACAGACACAGCGTACATTCGACCCCCTTCCTGGTACAGGCTCAGTGGAGGAACAGTGATGGTACCAGCCAACTCCAAGGCAGGTCTAGTAATGCCTGCAGCCCCTGCCGCCCCCTGGCCAGCCACCTGAGCCCTGTCCCGGCCAGTTCCTGCCCGCCCACCGCTGGCAGCTCCAGCCCTGACTGCCGACCTCGGGGCTGGGAGCTGGTTCCCAGCAGGGCCGGCCTTTGCCGGGAGACGGGATGATGAGTCAGCCTCGAGCCGGGCACCGGAGCCCTCTGGGGATGGAGGGGGAGCTGGCCTGGCCCGGTGCCAGCCTGCAGGGCGGCCGGGCCGGTGAGGGCTTCTGGTCAACGGGATGCAAAGCCTCTTCCTTCGCCCTGCGGGGAGGCGCAGCCGGCTCCAGGGAGGAGCCAAACGCTCACCGGGACCCCCTGAACGGGGACAGGGAGGGGCCCCAGGTGGCTGGAGGCCAACCACAGAAAGCCGCATCACAGACGTGTTGTGAGGGAGGGCGTCTCTCGAGAACAAAAGGCCCATTTCTAGACTTGCCAAACTGGGGAAGCTGCAAGAGGAGAGAGGGGCGCGCACACGGCTACACCACACAAGCAGTGTGAGCGCACACACAGGATCAGGTCCGCACGCTGTGACTGAGACCCTTCCTGAGGATTTTGTCACTGAAATATCAGGAGGACTTGATGATAGGCGGTTTCACTCTAACGTCTGACCCCAGCAGACTGCTAGGCCAGTGGGTCGTCCAGCCTCTGAACTGCGTGTCCACTTCACCGCCTCCCTTCTCTCCCTTATGCGCACACCGTCTCCCTACATAAGCTCCCCCAGCCCACCGAATTTCCTTGGCCTCACTTGGACCAAAACTCCAGGGGTACCGGTGACATCAGGGAGAGTGAGTCAGACAGAAACCACTGCCTTCCGGCCCCCCCCCCCCCCCCCCCCCCATCCCCCCCCCCTAGGTGGTCACAACCCCCGCCCCAGTTAGTTCTATGCCTGGCTTGTTTGTGTCCTTATGACAATTCCTGACACCGTTGTTCACTGAGCAGCAGCTACATGCCAGGTGCTGTGCCTGGCAGGGGTACAGAGCAGCCCCACCTGCTAGGTCCGTTTGGAATCTCATGGCAGCCCCCTGGGGAAGAAGGGGCAGGTGGCATCCCCCAGCGCAGAGAAGAACAGTGAAACTCACAGCTGCCATAGCAACCCACCGCCCCCCTCCTGCACTCACAGCCCTTCTGACTCAGACGTTTGGGAGCCCTGCCCCATGATTTCTTTCTTCTGGAGAGAAGTCGGTGCCTGCTGCAGCCTTCTCCTGGCTACCCCACCATTAAGGGACCCAGCAAAGCTCAGAGTACCTGGTCCGCCCCTTCGCGACACAAGAGAGGGAGCTGGGAGGCGTCCATGCTGGCCTTTCAGGGTGGGAAATGGGGTTGGTCCCTACACAGGTGTGGACAAGAAAGACCCTCCTCGCAAAGCCGAGGGGGGAGGCTGCCGCTGGGGTGGGATAGAGGCGGCAGCCGGGGCGGGGGCCGAGGGCCAAGGGGGCTTCTATTGTCCTCCCTGGAGCTTGCCAGCCCCTCCTTTCGGATGCGCGGTCCCCAGACCCCTGGGCGGCGGGAGGAGGCGCAGCAGCGCGCGGTGGAGCGGGGATGCGCGGTGCTGATGCTGCAGCCCTGCCGCATTCTGCGGCGGCGTCCCCGGATTGGCCGCGCGCGATGACGCCAGGCCGGGCGCGGCGGGCGGGGGCCCGCCCAAGAGCGGGCGGCGGGGGCGGCAGATCCTCCGCAGACAGCCCCGGCCCCAGCGCGTCCGCCTGCGTCCCGCAGCCGCCCGCCACACGCACCGAGCATGAGGGAGATCGTGCACATCCAGGCCGGCCAGTGCGGCAACCAGATCGGGGCCAAGGTGAGGCCGCGCGCCGCCCCCCTGCGCCGCGCTCCGCACCCGGCGCACATCCCGCGTCCCCCGCCCCCTTCTCGAGCCGGTCCCCGGGGGGAAGGGAAGCAGGGAGGCGGTGCGCGCAGAGCCGCACCCCGAGCCTCACTCGCCACTGCGAAGCCTAGAAGAAAAGGATGGGCTTGCCCTCGCTGCGGGCTGCCGGGCTGTCCCCTCTGCCATTCCCACCCCCGCCTTTCCTATGCCCCTACCGGGCTTACCTCGGGCCTGCGGGACCACAGCGCAGGTCAGCCGCTAAACTCCATCCACCCGCCGCTGCAGGTGCGGGGAGGCGGGGGGCGATGGCTGGGCGTGGCCCTCTTCTCTGGGGTCACAGTGCAGCCTCAGGCGAGATGGGTGGGGTGGGCAGGTTTGGGTGGGGCTCGACCCAAAGCTATAATGATCCCCCCACCCCCGGCACGCCAGTAACTTGGTACCCTCCAAGAGTCCAGGGCCGCCCCATGCCCCCGCCTAGCTTTGACCACCCTCAGCTTCCTGGCCGCACCCTTTTCCTTTGTTGGGGGAGGAATTGGGCCTGGACTCGGGATGACCTTCGTTGAGGACTGGACTCTCCCTCAGCGTAGCCCTGCCTGGGCAACCCCTGGCCCCTCGCCACAGGGTTGGATCAAACCCACGTAGGGACCGCGAGTCTCGGGGCCGGACGTGGGAACAAAGCCGGGGTGGGCGGGTGGGGTCGAGTGCTAGTTCACCACGAGGCCCCTCCCCTCCATTGTTAGCCCACCTCACAGATGTTGGGACTGAGGCGGGAAGGGGATGGCGTCATCCCCAGCCGAACCCAGGAGGCAGGTGTCCCATCCCTAAGTCCAGCGAAGCTGTCCCTTGCCCAAGGTCACACAGCAAGTGGAGACAGAGCCTCTCCACCCTCCGGCTCTCAGTCTCTGCAGATGCCCAGCGCAGGGCTCAGGCTGGGTGGGTGCGGCCTGCTGCCCGCTGTGCTCTCCTCAGAACAATATTGGGGGGGGGGGGGGGGGGCTTTGTCAGCACCAAGGCCAGGGACCCAGCGAGGGCTGGTGTCGAGCTGGTTCCCCAAGGAGGCAGTGGGAGGAGACACGTCCTGGAGGGGAAGGGGCCAGGAAAGGCTTCCTCTGGAGGCTGTTGCCATGGAAACCGGGCAAGAACAAAAAGCTAATTACAACGGGGCTGGGGCAGCCACGTGGCTGACATGTAAATTGCAACTTGGGCTCTAGGGTGGAGGCGCCTCACGTCGGGGGGAGGGCGTAGTGGGGAGACACCCTAATCACCGAGGAGACAGCTGTGCCTGCCTGAGGAAGGGGCTGGGGGAGGGGAGGCCTGGGGGACCAAGGCCTCAAATTAAATCAGGGCTCTGGGGGCTGTCACTGACAGCTGCCCTGGACGGGCAGAAGGGGCCATGGGCTCATTAATGTGGTCACAGGGGCCAGGCCTGCCCTGAGCATCTGCTCCTCCGAGAGTCAGGGGTCACTGAAGGGAAGCAGGGCAGCCTGAGTCCCACCATGAGCCTGGGGGAGTGGTGATCCTGTCACGGGGCTTCCTTCTATGGCTGGACCGGCACTGATCAGGCAAACGCAGGTTCATGCCCAGCTGCAGCCCCCATGGGTGGGGGGCAGGGCAGAGGCAGTGGCCCGAGTGCTGGACAGTGGCCTCCGCAGAGATTTTTTTCCTGCTTCAAGTGCAGTGGCCCTTGGGTTTGCTCATTACTTTTTATTCATTTTGGCTTAATTTCCTCAACTCTTGTTTGTTTTTAAAACTAATATCTGATCCTTTTTAAAAATGCAAAAGAGAGAGTGGTGGATTGGGGGGGGAGGGGGTCGTTTCTTCCTTTTCAACCGCTGCCCTTTGCAGTGACCAATGGAAGCAGTCTAGTGGTTTCCTTCCGGCCTCCCTGCCCTGGAAAATCTCCAGAACCAAACTGGACGCGCTCCCAGCGTGTATGGGGATTTGCCTGCCCCGGCGCTCAGCACCTGCCCTGTGGACAGGCAGGCGTTCTTTGGCCATTTTTGTTTCCAGCTTCCGTACTGGTTGTGACCTCCTGGTGGAGGGAGAGCAAACTTTTCTCGCCCATCACCAGCAGTAGCTGACTGGGGTGGGCAAGAGGGGCTGCTTCCCCTGCTTGGGGGCGGGCCGCCCGCTCGGGGGAGGGCCTGGCTGCGGATGGGGATGGGAGTGGAAGTTATGGAGGGAGGTCACGCGATCGGGGCCAGGAGAGAGCACGGCTCTCCTGAGAGGTGACATGACAGCATTTATGACTCGTGACGATGACCACTACGTGTTGGGCGCTGCACCTCTCGAGGCTGCGGTGGAATTGGGTGTCGCCCTTCCCCAAGGATAAAAAAAACGCGTGGGAGGGACAGGGCAGCAGTTTGAATCTAGGCCTGTGTGGACACATCAGGATGGGCAGGAAGCCCCCAGCTCCCACAGTGGGGCGAAGAGTCTGGGGACCCCACCCTCCGCCCCTAGGGGGCAGGGCCGTCCCGGAGCCTTTGTCTGCACCCAGCCTCTCGGCCGCTGGGCGGGGCCTCGGAAGGGCGGGCCCTGGCCCTGGCAGCCAATGGGAAGAGGAATTTCCTGTTTTCCGCACCCCAACCCCACCCCCGCCCCTCCCAGTTGGGTCCAGCTTAACGTCCCCCCAGTCGGCCAGCCCTCCCTCCCGGGAGCCACTGCACCCCTCTTGCCTTGGGCTCCTGCGCGCGCCCCGCCACCTCCCGCCGCCCACAAGCGTAGGCGCCGCAAAGGTCAGCACCACGGACAGCGCCGCGGCGCACGCCCCCCAGCTCGAGACAAAACCGTGGGGTCTGAAATAGGAGCCCTGGCCTGGACCCTGGGGTCCACGCGCCACCTGGCAGTTTTCTCATCTGTAGTGATGATCATAATTATTCTTTAATTTATAAAATAGTATTTTGTTATTTATTAAATGTTATATGATCTGTATATATATAATATATTCTACTGAGTTTTATTATTTTAAAGCACAATTCGTATTTGTTTTAACTACAAAAGCTATTATTAACGTATTCTCCTTCCAAAAAGTTGAAACATTGCAGATAAGGCTAAAGTGCCCATGTAAGCACCTCGCCCCTCTCGGTCCCTCTCTTCAGGCAGGACAAGTTATTTTCCACTATTCTAGTCCATCTTCTGTGCATAAGCACCTATGTATAAAAAATATAGCATCTGCTGTGAGATTTTTGCTTTTACTCCGTATATCATTGCAATGTGCCTTTTCCCCTAAGGGTGTGCCTTGGAGATCTGCTCATACCAGTGGTGATCTCTTATTGCAACACAATATTCCAAAGTATATTGATTTCTTTTCAAGTATCTTTTATTTTATTTATCAGTGAATATGACTTTACAAATTTAAATAACATCTAAGGCCTTTTAATTTTGTGAGGCCAACATTTGCTGACTGCTTTTATGTGTCAGGCCTTGAGTTGACCACTTGAAGTGGGTATCATATTATGTCCACTTTACAGATGAGAAAACAGATGTCCTGAGAGGTGGAGTCACTTGCACACACTGGCCAGTGCTGGGGTCTGCACTCACTCTGGTCTGCTGCCTCCTGGAAGCCTATGCATGCCATAGATGGGTCCAGAGAACTTTCCATAGATGTGTTGGTGGCTCGGTGGCTGAGTCACTCTCTCCGCCTCCCACACTTGCCATCTCAAGCTCATCCCTTCTCTACAGGGGCTATGGGTGTCTCTGAAGCCAGAGGTCTAGGGTGTCCCAGGGCTGTGGGAACCAAGGCCCCCGGCTCACACTGTCCTGAGGAGGGCATGGGGAACCCAGCAGTGGGAGGAAGCTCTGATCAGGCCCTGAATGCCTCAGTGACACCTCTAATTCCAGCGTTAATGCACACTTAATGCAGAAAAAAACTTATCAGTGACAAAAACACACAAAGGAGGACGAAGTCCAGCGCCCACCCTTGCTGAGAGCTGACCTCTGATAACAGTCTCTCTGGGTAAAATGCCAAGATCCTTCTGTACATTTTATAATAATGACGGTTGATACATTTCAGGTTTTAAAATTTTTTTATTTTTAACTAATCTTTTTCTTTCTTTTTGAGAAGTTAACATGTGCACGTGACAAAAATTCCAAAAGAACCAAATGGTGTGCAGTGCAAAAGCCTCTCCCCCAACCCTGGACCACTCTCAGGCACGGATGCTGGGAGCAGATTTTTGAATGTCTGTCAGAGACATCTATATATAGATGCGCACGTGAAAACTGATTTTTAACTGCTTTTCTCACTGAGCAGTTTTTTCCCCAGCACATGACCCACATGTAGAGGCCCTTTGCTTCTTGGGGCCTTCACACCCGTTCTTCTGAGTCACCCCAACCCTGAGGGGCAAAGGGGAGGGGCACTGGTAAGTCACACGGTGTGTGACCACGATCTCCGGCCTGCATGGGCAGCTGTGCTCTGAGACAGCCTGGAAGTGCCCCTGGGGCGAGCACAGAGCACTGCGCAGCCTTCCCTTCACCCAGGGCGGGTGTCTTTGCGTGCTAATAATCCCACACGGCACTCACCATTCACAGGCTCTGTGCAGAGTAACTTGCTTTATTCTCACAACAAGCTGGCTTCATCATCAGGCCCACTGAACAGGTGAGGCCACTGAGGCACAGAGAACCTTCAGGACCTGCCCAAGGTCACGCAGCTGGGAAGGGGTGGTCCTGCCCTGCCCCAGTCCTGAGGGAAGCGCGGTAGGTTCCCGCCCAGGGCGAGCAGGGCAGGAGGCCGTGGGGAGAGTGAGCCCTTGAAGCTGGGGCTGTGCCATCTCAGCTTGGACAGGCTGGGTAACCCCAGGCAAGTGATTCCCCACTCAGGCCCCTGTGGTTCCTGTTGGCTGAGGTTGCTGACGTGCTGGACGCTGCCAGGCCCTGTCACTGGACATCTTTGCCTCGACACTGAGGGGCACGCATATCCTGGACCCTGTCTCCAGCACTTACCTTCTCTGTGCTTCAGCCTTCTCACCTGAAAGGAGGGAATTAAAAACGAAACACCCCAAGAGGGTGTTTATTACTCATGGAGAAATAGACTGTCCAAGGCCCCTGGTCACCAAGTGCAGAGCTGCGTCTGCAGACCCAGGTCTGTGTCAGCTGAGCCCTGAACCACACTGAGGGCTCTGGTCTCCATGGACATGCATATTTATTATGACAATTTTCTCACAGATGACACAGCTAGGGGCTCTTTTTCAAAGTCACTCAAAGGGACTAGTGCAGGCTTTGGGTCCAAGCCCCTAATTTTGTAACAGGGCTTCAAGGCTACGGGAGGGAAGGGGCCTGGTGGGGGTCACAACCACCTACTGACCCCTCCGTTTCCCCTGCAGTTCTGGGAGGTCATCAGCGACGAGCACGGGATAGACCCCAGTGGCAATTATGTAGGGGACTCGGACCTGCAGCTGGAGCGCATCAGCGTCTACTACAACGAGGCCTCTTGTGAGCCCCCATCCTGGACCGAGGGGTGGGGTGGGGGGACCTTGACTGCTGGGTCCCAGCATCTCTGCCTTCCTTTCGGTTGGCTGGCACGTGCAACCAGAGACTCACAGAATAAAGACAGGGGATCCTAATAACCCTAGCGAGATTCAAATGTGTTTAACGGCCATGAGACACACGCACAGTCCGGTGGAATGGCCAGGGCTGGGCAGGGTCCCAAAGGCCCCTTCAGGAGGCCCATGGGAGGGTCCAGAGCAGGGGTTACCTGGAGAGGTCGGGCAGGGGCTACTCAGCAACTGGTGAGAAATGGTGTCTTTAGTGAACTGGCAAAATATTAACCTGCCCACGTAGACATGGGATTTGGTCCTGGCTGTCCGGATGTCAACCATGACTCCCTTCTCACACATGGCTCCTGCCTCTCTGACCCCAGAGTCTGAGCTCTTAGGGTGAGAGCACGAGGCTGGCAGTCCGGGGCAGGACTTAGGGGGCAGGAAGGGCGCCTAGCTTCTGTGACCCACGTAACCCACCCCTCTGCCCTCAGCTCACAAGTATGTGCCTCGGGCCATCCTGGTGGACCTGGAGCCTGGAACCATGGACAGCGTCCGGTCTGGGGCCTTCGGGCACCTCTTCAGGCCTGACAACTTCATCTTCGGTAAGTTTCCCCTGCCCCAGCCTCTCCTGGTGGACCCCACTGCCGGCAAACCCAGATCAACAGAAACAAGGGCAGAGTCACCCCTGCCTGTGACCCTGCAGAGCAGACCTGATCTCCCCAATTTGCAGCTTGGGACAGAGTCCCAGAGAAAGGGTTCTGTGCAAGGAACAGAAACCACTTGTGATTTCAAGCAGAACGATGTGTGAAACAGAGGCTTGAGCTCACGGGATCCTTAGAGAGATGGGGGCCGGGGCGGGGGGCGGAGGCGGGGGCCAGAAGCAGTGCCTCCAGAGGATACCGGCTCACGAGCACGCAATGTTGCTGCGGTCAGGGCAGCTGTCCTCACGCCCTTGAGTCTGGTGGCAGGGCCCTGGGTGCTCACACAGTGACAGGAGGAAGGTCACACCCCACTTCCACCCCCCAGCGCTCAGCACCCCAACGATGGGCATGAGCCTCCTCCCGACCCCGGGCTGTGAGGGGTGCTGGGGGTTGCAGTTTACCCTTCCAGCACAGCCGGCCGGAGGGTGGGTGGACTGGAGGGGAGGGCTGATCGACTCCCCACACGGTGTGGCTGGTGCTAAGAGCCAGGGAGGGGTTGAGAAGGTGCGGGCAACCCCGCTTCATGGAGGGTAAACAGGCACAGGGCTGCGTCCGCGGTTGCCATCAGGCAGGTACTGGAGGTCTGACCCCGTCCGTGTCCCCCTGCCCCCGTCCCAGGTCAGAGTGGGGCCGGCAACAACTGGGCCAAGGGCCACTACACGGAGGGCGCCGAGCTGGTGGACTCGGTCCTGGACGTGGTGCGGAAGGAGTGTGAGAATTGCGACTGTCTGCAGGGCTTCCAGCTGACCCACTCGCTGGGGGGCGGCACCGGGTCCGGGATGGGCACCCTGCTCATCAGCAAGGTCCGCGAGGAGTACCCCGACCGCATCATGAACACCTTCAGCGTGGTGCCCTCGCCCAAGGTGTCGGACACGGTGGTGGAGCCCTACAACGCCACGCTGTCCATCCACCAGCTGGTGGAGAACACGGACGAGACCTACTGCATCGACAACGAGGCGCTGTACGACATCTGCTTCCGCACCCTCAAGCTGGCCACGCCCACCTACGGGGACCTCAACCACCTGGTGTCGGCCACCATGAGCGGGGTCACCACCTCCCTGCGCTTCCCAGGCCAGCTCAACGCCGACCTGCGCAAGCTGGCCGTGAACATGGTGCCCTTCCCGCGCCTGCATTTCTTCATGCCCGGCTTCGCGCCGCTCACCGCCCGCGGCAGCCAGCAGTACCGCGCGCTGACGGTGCCCGAGCTCACGCAGCAGATGTTTGACGCCAAGAACATGATGGCGGCCTGCGACCCCCGCCACGGGCGCTACCTGACCGTGGCCACCGTCTTCCGGGGCCGCATGTCCATGAAGGAGGTGGACGAGCAGATGCTGGCCATCCAGAGTAAGAACAGCAGCTACTTTGTCGAGTGGATCCCCAACAACGTGAAGGTGGCCGTGTGCGACATCCCGCCCCGCGGGCTCAAGATGTCCTCCACCTTCATCGGCAACAGCACGGCCATCCAGGAGCTGTTCAAGCGCATCTCGGAGCAGTTCACGGCCATGTTCCGCCGCAAGGCCTTCCTGCACTGGTACACGGGCGAGGGCATGGATGAGATGGAGTTCACCGAGGCCGAGAGCAACATGAACGACCTGGTGTCCGAGTACCAGCAGTACCAGGACGCCACGGCCGAGGAGGAGGGGGAGATGTATGAAGATGATGACGAGGAGTCCGAGGCTCAGGGCCCCAAGTGAAGAGGCTGAGGGGTGGGGCGCGGCTGCGGCCAGGACCGAGAGCTCTGTCCCCCGAGCCATGTAGCCACTGACACACCCCTGCCCTTTCCCCCACCAGGCCCGGTCATGTCACCCTAGGGCTCCCAAGTGTGTGTCCTTTAGTACTTACAGCATCCCTGCCCTGTGTCTTCTCAGCTGTGTTCCGCCATAGGTCAAATCCATTTTGCGTGGCCCGTTTGTCTCTCTGCTTTATTATCAGCTCCAGGCCTGATGTTTTATGGTTTGTTTTGTTTTTTTTACTGGTTTGTGTTTATATCTTGGGGGGGATACTTAATAAATTTATTGCTGTCAGATACCCGTGCCTGGTGCTGGCGATTTCTTCTTATTCTGGAAAGTTGGGGCCAGAGGGGTTAGGAGGGGCAGACAGGGAGGCCCGGTGGCGGGGGCAGGACAGAGCATCATCGTCTCCCAGTGGGGGCTGACATGGGCCTGTGCTTGGAACCTGCAGCTGTCCCAAGGTGCAGCCCCTGGCAGGGGAGCTCCTGGCGGTGGTGCTGGAGAAGGTGGCCATGGCTGCAGGAAGCCCAGGCGTGCTCTCAGTCGACCCGGGACAAGCCCCAGTCCCCTCCAGGGTGACTCGTGCCGCAGAGTTTTCCTCTGGCTTATCCGGGTGCTAGACGTTAGAGGCAGGCAGCCGAGACCCAAAGGGGAGTCAGGGAGGGGGGACCTTGAGGACTCCCCCGGAAAATGTGGTGTGCTGGAGGGCTGGGGCTTGAGCCCTGGGGAAGGGCGGGTCTGGTCAGCGAGTTGTGGGCACAGCAAGCACCCCGCGCAGCCGGGCCGGGAGTGAAGTTCTGGCCCACGCGCCCCCTGGCGGTTGTTTCCTGTGGCCGCAGGGCGCCCAGGGTCCCGCTGGAATGGGAAACCTGGCCGCCCCCTCCTCGTATAGGGAGAGAAGTGGAATCCCAGAGGCGCTGCCTGCCCGGGGCGCAGGTGAGCCCGTGCAGAGCTGGACGGGCCCAGACCCTCTGCCCTCGGCCTCCCCACACCCCACGCCTCGAAGCCAGGGTCTCATCAAGCCCAGCTCCCCCGGGACACCCCTGCACCCCACCCTTCTGTGTGGATACCCGGGCAGAGAGAGGCCGAAGGGGCTGATCTGGACCAGGGAATGGAAGCCCCGAGAGGGCCGGCATCCAGGGCCCTGGCAGGAGCGGATGCTTCCAGGCGCCTGCTCCGGGCCAGGCCAGCTCTAAGCCCGTCGCGCGGCTGACCCTGAAGAGCTGTGCTCGCCCACCTCACGTGCAAGGCGGCCAGGTTACAGTGAGTGTGACTGTGTGTGAGGGTCTGAGCCCTGCGCTGGGCCCTCCTCTCTGGGTGGTGAAGGCCCCAACTCCACGTCCACGGCAGCTTCACAGGGCTGCGGCCTCCATGCACTGTGGGGGAGGGGTGTCCACAGCTCAGGTTCTCAAGGGGCTCAGTGACCCCCCAAAGACCTGAGTCCCCCGCCAGGTGTTGACAAAGCTCCCGATAGCCAGGTGCTCGTGCTGGGTCCCCCGGTCCACGGTCTGCCCGGGCTCTCTCCTGAGGGGTGGGAAGCTGTGCCTTGTTTAACCTTTACAGTGAGGCCACCAGGTTTCCAGGCAAGAAACGAGGCTCAGAGACGTGAGTGTCTGCCCGCTGGCAGGTGGCACAGCCGGGGGTCCGGCCCAGGCTGTGTATCTCTCCACTTTGCTTCAAGTGGCCACAGATCCACTTCCCTCCTGAGCAGCTGCACCTGTGAGAACTTCGTCCTGGCTCGGGTCACTTAGACGAAGCTGGCCTCCTGGGGCCGCCCTGCCTTCTCCGCCTAGACCGCGGCCCCGCTCCAGCACTCACGATGGCCCAGGCGCCTCTGCTGCTGCCCGGGCTCCCCTCCCGCGGGAGGGGCTTTGGCGCCTCCTTCCTCCGGCCCTCCCTCCTCTCCTCCTGCTGGGTCCCTCGAGCCTCCGGCTCCCTTTTCCTTTTTTTTGTTTTTTTGCGGTCCGCGGGCCTCTCACAGCTGCGGCCCCTCCCGCTGCCGAGCACAGGCTCCGGACGCGCAGGCTCAGCGGCCACGGCTCACGGGCGCAGCCGCTCCGCGGCACGTGGGATCCTCCCGGGCCGGGGCGCGAGCCCGCGCCCCCTGCATCGGCAGGCGGGCTCTCAGCCGCTGCGCCACCAGGGAAGCCCCGGCTCCCTTTCTTATGAGAGGCCATTTAGTTCTCTCCTGTTTTCCTCAGTCCTAGCCTCACTCCTCGCAGACATTGTGGAGCAGAGACAAGCCAGCCCTGGGCTCTACGTGAAGTCCTGACCCATGGCGTCCGTGAGCGAGGTGAATGGCTGTGCTTTATGTCAGCGCATTTCAGAG